ACAAATATAAATGTAAAGTATTGTGTCAAGTATTTGACTTTACTAGTTTGTCAATAAGTGACTCACAACGAATAAGTTGTTTTAACTTACAATTTAGAGTGGACCTCCTGGGACATGCAAAAAATGTTAAAATTAACATTTTTTTTTTTACTGTGTATATATCGCATCTTCCAATATTTAATGGAATAATAGAATACACGTATACACTAATAGTTTAAGTAGTAAAACTTGAATCACATATTTCTTAAAATACTTTTCAATATTTCGCTTATCGTCTAACATGTGATACACACACATTATATATTTGTCTTTTTTTCTAGTTTTTTTTTGTTTTATTTTAATACTTTACGTTGTAGTAATTTAAGCACTTTCTCTCTTTTCTATTAAACATTTATAATTCTGCAATATACTCAGTGAAACTCTTTAAGCGTATCAGACGCCACACTCCAAATACTGTTGTGGAGCTTAAGTTTTCTCACTTTGCAACATATTGTGTTTAATTTTTTTTTTTTTTTTTGTATTAGTAGTCTATATATATTGTTTTTTTATCGAGCAATAAGTTTACTGCTTCTCTTTTCTTTCTTAAATCATTATGGTGTATATATATATACATTATATTTATATTTTTAATGCTATAATATATTTTTTTCTTTAAACACATCCTGTGTTATGTTTGCTATCTTTTTAAGAAGACATTAAAACCACTAGAGGAAATGAACGAAAAAAGACTCAATTCGCTTTACGACTCGAATTAAATTGAAATATATTGTCTGTAAAAACTCTATCGTCAATTGTTTCAACGATAATGTAATTTGTATAAGTAAAAATATAAATTAAAGGTAAATTTTTGACAAATGACTATGTACACAGAATATATCACATTTCACACATGTAGGCAACTATATCTTTTCGATTAGTTTGTTGTTGCGGTTTTGACAAAGCAAATATATATATATATTAGATATCTAATGTACTGGAACAAATAGAAATCTCTCTCATTTGTGCACGGTTATTGTGCAACAGTATTGGGTTTACGGGGTTTTGTTAATTAGCCGTACATATAATAATCTTCTGTTAATATTGTTTCTAGCAGTGTAGCAGAGAAGTAGAACATATTATTTTCAAGGCGTTATCGCTCCTCGAGAAGTAGACTAGTAGTAAGGTAAGAGATAACGAAATACTATTTAGTAACTACTTGCTGACGTAATTACAAATTGTGTCACTAAGAAAAATACTAAGTAATATTAAGAAAAGATATTCCATGCTTTTGTAAATCTCTTTTTTCAATAATATATACTGGGTGATCTCAATAAATAAAATATAAATAATTCAAATCAACAAAAATCTATCTATCCTAAATCTTAGCGACTAGTGTAATGTATTGGCCCAGCAATATTTGGTCTCTACAATTTTTTACATCCAAGTTCAAAGTAAAATAGAAATTAAGTATCTTTAAAAAAAAATACAGAAAACAATTCTTCAATTTTTAACAAAAAATTGTCTAATTTATATAATAACTATAAATTAACATACTATATCTTGTGATATATATATTCACATAATTGTGTAACAACAAGAACTTTTTGTGTTATCTCTTTTTCCTAATGTACATTATCTATTTGTCTTGAATAAATTTTAAATAAAGTATTAGTTATGTGTTGCGTATATTTAAATATTGTAGATAACACAATGTGTCTAAAGAAAATGTCTCAAATATTACAAAGAACGTAATTTTGTAATCTTTTGGCAACATGAAAAGTGCATAGAAATATTTTCTTCGATTCATAATGTGGCACAGGTTGAGAAAGAGAGAGAGAGAAAGAAACAAAACAACATGATAAAGTTATAAACTAGTCATTCTCGTTATCTAAATCACTAAACAAGCGATTTAATTCTATTGTTGACTAGAGACCTTCAACGGTATTTTTCTGTTTTTAGTAATAGTAAAACTATCGTACAAATCTCGCTAGAAAAATGTTTCCCATCACCGCTATAAAAAATGGACAGACTTGGCGAAATACGTAAATACGTACAAAAGAAATTCTGTGGCATCCGCCGTGAGAGAACATGTACAGCAGGAACGATGCGAAATAATCGTTCTCTCGTATTATTAAAAAACAGCGAATACATCTTTTTATCGAGATACATACATTACTGACCGTATTAACGCGTGTCTCGCGAACGTTTCTCTACTGAAGCGAGCAAACTTTTGAAGTTCCGAGAGAGTCGTCCATTGCGGCCGCGCGTCTTCTGATACCCTCCAGGTACACCTCGCGATTGAAAAGTCCAGCGCCAAGCGGAATTCTAAAAATAAAATAACAGCGCGTGTCATAGATTGTTACCGCTATACGTTAACGGCGCGCATATATGTATGTGTAGGTTAGTGCGAGCTATACAGGCTTTGCCGCTCGAAACGTCGATAAGTGATAGACACGTACGTGTCGATACCCGGTCTCAGCGTGGTTTTAAAAACACCCCAGACCGGCTTGTGATCCGAGGTGCAGATACTAGGAACGGAATCGTACACCAGGCATTCAATGGCCCCGTCCCTGGACGAGTTGGCGTTCTCGTGACTGAAACGTCTGATGTAGCCTCTGGTGTGACCCTTTCCCTTAAAGAGTATTCTGTCGGTATACGCCGGAGTACGTTGCTTGCTGCTAGAGTCGAAGTTCTGCGTGCCCGGATCGTACTTGTACGTGGGCGGAAAGACGATCGGAGCCTCCTCGAAACCGCGCAGCACCGCGCCCTCGTTCAAGGTAGTTCTCAGCTGATCCGTGTGCAGGTTTATAGGCGACTCTTGCGGGAAACATGTATTCGTTATCCACTGAATGACTTCCTCTCTCGGTTGTGCCAAACGGAAGTTGAGGTCACCACACCAAAATACGCAATCAAAGTTTTGCGTAACGTCTGAAAAAAAAAAACACATTTGTGTTACGCAAGAATTTAATCGCAAATGTCGAGAAATTTGGCGTACAATACCTTTGCTCTTGTGCCTAGTGGGCAATTCCTTGGGAAGATCGAGATTTCGAACGATCCTCTTGATGTCGTTGACGCGCTCCTTCACCTTATCTTGATGTGCGGTCAAATGAGCGGTGACGAAGAGGAAGCTCGTTCCAAATATCATGAGAGCTATCGCGACCGCGCCCTTCGTTCTGAACGCCGTGCCGGTTCTCGTCGAGAAACTGTCCTCCTCCGGGACGGAGCAAAACCAGATGAGATCGCGTCGAAGGAATATGGCGAGATGAAGCGTGCCGAGATTACTGCTGGTGAGAAGCACGTGCGAAGGACCGAGAGTCTCCTGCAAAGCCGCTTCCCACTCGTTTCTCTCGGAACACGACTCTTGCGTGCCTATCGCCAGCAGATCGGGAACGGTCTCGATGTCGGACGGCAGCATGAAGTCGTTCAATTCTTTCGGCGGTGTCTGACCGTTCATGTTCCAAGTGCCAATGAAGATCTTCAACTCCCGATTCGGCAGCACCTTCTCGAGCTCCACCGGTCCGAGCAAGGAATTGGCGGCGATTCTTCCGTGAAGAAAATTCCTGAAACGTCGAATTTTATTTAAAAAAAAAAATAAATAAATAAAAACAGTAATATCATCTTTAAAATAATAATTTTTCTAAAAGAACACACATATACGTACCTCTCACGTGCTTTTTGAGTAGGTATCAAGTTAAGTACTTGCGCGGCAAGTAGGGATTGTTTCGCCAAACTGTCCATAGACGCTCCCGTCGTGTGACAGAAGTAACGATCTTTCTTTTTGGACAAAGCATCGTGCGACGTTGAGCGTGGCTTGTGCTGTATTGGCGCGCTTTTAATCGAATCCGGACTAGAATGTCTCATGGAGTTTGTGGGTGAGTTCACAATCAAATTATCGGCGGATCGTCTATGGAGCAATCTGCGACGCAATTGTTCGGAAATGCTCGGCGACAGTGATCCGGAAGAGGAATTTTCTCCTGAAACAGTTCAAACCTGTGCGTTACACACGGGTTTCTGTTTTTTTCCGATAGACAAATTGTGTGCATCATAAGTTGCGCAAAAAAAAGAAAAAAAAACCATTCACATTATCTCAAAAGCAAAGAACACGTATATATGTATATATATATATATATATGAGACATACATATATATATGTATATATACTGATCGAACAAATGTACTTCGTGCCTAGAAATCAGATTCATAACGGCATTACGGCATTCTGCTGTAATGAAACCAAATTGCTCAAATTGCCGCCTATTGCAGTTCTTGGCACTAGCGTGCAGATTCGTAACATTTAATTAGTTGCTCAGCTCGGGAAGGAGAGAGAGAGAAACGGATACTTAAAGATCTCCGCGAAATAATTCACGTATTTTAATCGACACACATCAAGGCTATTTAAATTTGATTCAACTTCGTGAGCACTGAGCTGCGCGCGGTGAATTCCAAGCAAAATTGCTCTAGTTCACGTAAGTGTATATTATTAAAAAACAAAAACTGTTTAACACACAGAGTTTTAGTACGTGGAAAAAGTCACTCGATTAAACACGTTACACACAGAGTGTCTTTAGATTTACTCGGAAAAACGAGCCAACAACAATCGCGTAGTCCGCCCGCAAACATCTCGGCACTGTACATCCCAGTTTTTAATCTCTAATCTAATCTAGATATTAAAAAAAAAAAAGTAGCTATTTGTACATTTTCTCGATACGACTAACATATATACACAGGGAGAACACCGTAAAAAGTAAGCTATTTTACAATGCCGATACTCTGGAACAGAAGAATCCACGGTGTGTTCCCCCTCGCGTAAAAACAAAATGCGAAAAAACAAAATGCGAAAACATAATAAGAATCAAAACATTTGAAGCAGAGCATATATATGTATATATATATATATATAGAGAAAGTTCGTGTGAATCTCGTTTTTTGTACCTTTGTTCCCCGGCTTTTCAGAATCGGTATACTGAACCATACTGTAAACCTCAGTGGGATTGTAACTCTGCCGTTCCATTTCCAGGAAGAAATAAGTGATATACTTTCCCTTCGTAAAATACTCATCCTTTAAGTATTTCTGCGCTTTCTCAGACTCGATCAGACGTTTGCTCTCGTCTTCCTCTTCGATTGAAGATGAGTCGAACGAGTCTTCCGTCGAGTCTGCAGAGAAGTCACTATCTTCACTACTCTCTTGGGAAATCGCTTTCGTTTCTTTTATTATAAGTTTTCTCGTGTCTCTCAACGCGGCGTTATTAGAAACAACGGTCGTGGATCGCGATGATAACGCGCTTTTGAAATCGGAATTCGAACCTTTCGCGTCGTCATTGTCGCGCGGTTGCGATTTTTTATCTCCCGAATTCGAGGCAACGTCTGTGATCTGTCGCATGAAGGCGATTTTTGTACTCATGTGTCTGTCCGATCCTAACGCGGAACTCCCCTCGCTTTTGTCCCTCAGACACTGTTCTACCTTCTCACGATATTCCGCAACGTTACGTTCGGAATTCTCGTTCTTTACGCCGGCTACGTGGTCGCTACTCCCCCGCACATCTGACAAATTCCCATCGTTACGTTCCATCGTCCCGACCAACGAACTAGTCTCCTCGAGAACAGAAGTTTCGCGTTTTCTCTCAACCGCTTTCGGAGTGAGTTTTCGTTCGGACGAATGAGACACACTTCCCGGTTTATCGGTCGACCTGTTAACCAACTCCTCCTGCCTACGATGGAGTTCCGTCTGTCCCGTTTCGCCAACCTTTCTCTTGAAAGCGCGTCGCAACGATTTGAGAAGGGAACTTTTTCTCTTCTTTTTCGTCTTCGGACTTGACATTTCGATTCGGATTTTGTTCGCTTTTTTGTTTGTTTTTTGTTCTTTTTTTTTTTTTTAATTCTCAACGATTCGGGAAAGGATTATACACACATGTGCGTCAGCGATAAGATTACAACTGGGCTCTAGATCCACGTCTGCAGTACAATCGCGGCTTTACATCGATACACACTGGAAGTATTATGGCTCTGTGTTGTACGTACCGCTTTAGAACGTAACCACACATGGAGGGGACACGCGCAAGGTCATCCGATCATCATTCAGACCGTATTACACAATACACATAAAAAGACATATGAAACAGAAGTGACGCTCGGTCGCGAGATTAGATGTGAGGTAATTAAAAACTTTCTACGGGGTGTGTGTTAGTTCGCGAGACAAAGATTTTACTCGACTAAAACTTTTTGTTTTTCTCATAATGCAAAAGACAGTCCTGCAACAGCCTGCCGTCTCGTAAGTACTTGTTTGTCACTCGGTTATCGTCGCTCAATCGGCGGCACAACTTGTTTTGCTTCTCAATTGGCGCGTCTTTCAATTATCGTTTTTGTTTTTTTTTTGTTTTTTGCAAGAAAAAAAAACATTTAGAAAGTATCGCAGACGCGCCAATGGAATATGGTGCCTTTGATGGTGTGTGCAAGAATTTTCTACGTTTGTGTCTTAAACGTCGTCAGTAAGACCTGGATTCGAGCTTACCTTCTATGTAAGTACTGGGACGCTCTTTCGCCAACGATATGTTATTCCTTTTGATTACAGTCTCTTGGGCCGCCTGACCGCTCGCGACATAAACATCATCTTCCTTCTCGACCACCGCGTCGGTCTGACAATCCCCGTTGACGGACGCTACCTCGGATTTAACCGAGGCGCGGCTCAACGTCGTCGGGGAGAATCTACTGACGGTCAAGCTCTGGGTCGGCGTCCTGCGTTCGGTCATGGCGCAGCACAGGGACAATTTCGTGCTGGTTTGCGACTCGTGCTGTGAGTTCTCCAACTTGGAGTTTCTGTTCGGCTGGGCGCCGTCCTTGTACGACGGTTCCAGACAGCCGACTTTGGTCTTCTTGTGGTTCCTCAGCATGTGGCAGAGACACTTCTTTTGCTTCGATTTCTTCTGCTTAGATTTCGAGGGGTCTACCTTGGATATCTCGCCACCCTCGCTCTGCTCCATAATACACTCACAGCTGACGCATTGAGATCAGTGGCGGACTCTTTCTTTTTTTCTTTGTCTCTTTCTCTCTCTCTCTCTGTTGCTTGCATATGGGATTACTGATTATTATCAATTACAACTTACTGGCTTCGAGTCAGTGGTGTACATCAAAATGGGTCATAGAAAAATTTTTCGGAACTATCTCGTCGTTTGGATCATCGAGAAAAACACCTTGAATGAATAAAAATAATTATGCTCTATCTCGTCGCAATTGTATAAAGTTGAAGTACGTCTACGAGGTGTCTCACGTGTCTCTTCGACGTCGATATTTAAAAATGTCATTTCTCTACCTACGTGTTTTGTTTGCACACACCGTGATTACTATCTAAATTCTGCGGAATTACATACGCACATACAGTCGCAAAATTTAATCTGCTGCAATGTATCTTTAACTACAAATACTACAAATTTTTACGCTTTGGTGTCAGGTTCCATTCTCGATATGTCGTTTAAACTCAAAATAAATGTCGCTAAATCGCGTTCAAAACACCCCGAACAATTATCCGTTTGGAATACTGGACTGTGAAAGTCGAATATTTTGGGCTGCTGCGAAATTAAGATCGACGCGTCCATCCGACGTGTCGCACGTTCTGTCGGAGCAATCCCCGTTCCGTTTCCATGGCAGACGCGCAAACGAATCTACTCGACCAAGTTCGTGACATAGTTACCGCGTCTCTCATTCAACATTTCGGCCCGACCGATCGAAAACAAGAATCATTCGTCGTCGCGTGCCAAGCATTCTCTCCGACAACACGCAATCGGAACAAAGGGAAGGCACCCTTACTCGATACTCGTGTTACTTTACTCGAGGGGGTCTCGGCTCGTCGCGATCGCGGACTCGCCTCGACACGTCATACGCACCCTCGAGATCGGACCGACAACAAACCGCTTCTTATTCGATCGAACGAGCCCACGGAACCAACACCCGTACTTCAGCCTCCATTCCCGCAACGACGGCGACGGTGGCGGCGGCGGCGACGATGCGCATCGAACACATCACGCGCGAGTTGCGCTGGTTATTCGTTACATTTTTGTTTTGTTTATTTTTTATCGTATCAATTTCTCGTCGCGCACATCGCGCGACCCGCATCACCCGCATACGCCGTGCATGCACGCGATTCGCGCAGCCGTCACGCTTCGTAGCAGACGACAACAGCAGAGATTCCGAGAGGCCGAGTTTCCCTGTTCGATCGACGGAAAATCCTCTCGCGATAGAAGGGGTTTTGCGTTTTTTCCCGAACAACGAGATGACGACGAGAGGAACAATGTGCGCGCGAAGCGCGTGCTCGGGAAATGACGCGCGCGACAATCGAGCGAGAAATGAGATCACCAGTTCCGTCGAGCAACTGTCAAACCTAGCAGACGACAGAGACGAGCGCCATGTTGCGCGACACCATGGCGCCGTCGCGACGCGCGTCCAGAGTGGCGAGCGTCGCAGAGTCGCGTTTTTAAGTCGCCATATTGAATTGGACCGATACAGCTTGAGGATTTTACACCAATGATCGATCTCTGAATCATCGATTAGAAAATTGTGCGCTAATTAATGACAACTTTCTGCTTTTGCTGAGGATGTAATCCTCATTGTTGAATGATGTGTATTTTTGTTGTTGAAAATCAGACCCAGATGAGAAATATATACGGGTGAAAAGGGTTGTTCAGGGATGTTTCGCCGTCTCCGATTAACTTAATTCTTAAACCACGCACATATCTCCCCCAAAAACTAAATACACCGAGCGTATTGAAATATGACGGGGTAGTTGAATACCCCATCATATTTCACTACGTGTCAAGATACATGCGTGTAAAACCTTAATTGATCGATTGTTGTCTGTAGTTTTTTAACTTTGTTTGGGAAATAATCTAGCAGTTTATCTGCCCAAACTTTTGTCTGTTTCTCGATCGCTCAACGAAAAGAGAAAAATCAGTTTTTAAGAAACTCGACAAATGTGAAAGTCACGGGGATAGATTCTCACCCCATGTGTGTAATTTGATCGACCGATTGCTTCGATTGTCAATGGGTTTTGACCAATCACGCGGTTGACGCGAAACCGATCCCAAAAACGCTCTCAAAGCCGAAACGAGATAAGCGCATTGATTTTCACATTGACAATTTTAAAGGTAAGTACATTGTTTTTTATTCGTAATTACCGCTCGCGGGGCGGAAACATGGCGGGTCGCTCGGCGCCCGCACGCCCTCGACCCTGTCTCGTGCCACACCAATACGCATTACTACGCACACTTTCTCGGTCGGTGGCGGGCTGCGTCACAATAATGTTTTGTTTACGTCGGGTGCACGGGGACTAGGCGACACACTAGGATGCTCGACGAAAATGCGAATGAAGAAGCGACCCAGCATCAAGGCAGATACAAAGGTAAAGAGAAAACCTCCCGAGTTCCTGTCAGATCGCACGTGTCCAATCGCGTAGCACCGTTCGGCGTAGGCGTTCCCGCGAATTTCCCACCGTAAGACCGAGACAAGCTCGTCGCGTGAAGACCGGGACGGAGAGCGATCGCTCGAATTGTGTCGAACCGCGTTATACGGGACGTGTTCGCGACGTTGACGCGCGTAAATTGACACGTAGCACATCGTGGTGGAATCGACGTCAATACGAAAATTATCGTAAAAGACGGCGGACATCGCGTTCGTTTCGCGTCTCGGCAGAACATTCGAGAAAAGACGGGGCGACACCAACAGTTGTGTCGCACACACGTGCGCGTCCATGTTCCCGTTTTGCGCTCCTTTTCCCGCGTTACATCTCCTCTTCTCTGCATGTGAGTCGTGTATTTCCGAGCAGCAATTTCGAAATAGCACCGAGATCGCCGAGGGAGCGACCTTCGACGTCGCGCTCGATTAGGTATCGACGGACCGCGAGAACCCGCTGCAATTTTGTTGCGGTTTAGTGAATATTAAAGAGAAAGCTCCGAAATGGAACGGAGTCGCGCGGCGACTCGTATTTTCTCGCCCTCGCCGTTGGGAAATACGAGAGGAACGTTTTAAAATTTTAAAATTAAGGAGAGGAACCCTCTTGCGCGAAAGAAAAAAACCAAATTCAGAAACAAGGCAGAAATTTCCGAGTGCAATTTGAGGGAGAGAGAGAGAGAGAGGTTTTTTTTTGTGCGAAAAAAAAAAAATAATTTTACACGGAGCACAAGAACGACGAAGATAATCCGCGATCGGGAAAATCTTCCCGAGCGCTCGCTCCCCCCGCTCACGTTGCACCACGTCGCGTCGTCGGCTCCGCCGAAAAACGGAGAAGCGATTCGCGCCGCCACCGCTAGATGTCGATCCGACACGCGGCGAGTTCGCGATGTAGACGGCCACCATTGTTGAGACTCTGCTTTTGGTTGGTGCCCCCCGAGGATTTTTGGGTCGTAAATCGTAAAATTTCGACCGTACCCACGGTGGAAGGGCCACCTCGTTGCGGTAGGTGCGCGCGGGATTCGCCGCTTTTTTGCGATCGCGTGTGTGCGGGCGCGGTGTCCGACAAGGTTCGGCCGAGCAAAGACGACAATCGCGTATACACATATACACACACGCGCGCATCTCTCTCTCTCTCTCTCTCTCTCTGTGGTCGTCGCCGTCGTCGATGCCACCTAAACAGCGAGGCACGTCGCTGCCGATCGAGAAGACTCAAGTGAAATCGCGCGTGTGCACGCGTTTCGTTCTCACGCGGGGCGAGTCGCGCGTCTTCGCGTCGTCGTCGTCGTCGTCGTCATCGTCGTCGTCTTTGCGACGAGTCGTTGCCGCTCCTATTTTGCCGTCGCTGAAAAGAGAGGTGCGCGATCGCATGCACCATCGTGTGCACCGTGCGTGTGCCGTACCGGATCCGCGCAACGACGTGTCGATACGAGCGTGCGTGTCCCCGTGTGTGTCGTGCGTGCGTGCTGTTCGTCCACCCGCTGCTGTCGCCACCGCTGCTGCCGCCGGTGGCAACGCGACGCTGTGAGTGCGTGCGTGAGTGCGTGAGTGCATGCGTGCGTGCGTGCGTGCGTGCGTGCATGTATGTATTACATTACATTCATCCATCCCGTTCATTCTTGCGTATCCCGTGCGTAATACGCGCGTGCATAAACGATTGATAGGACTCCTCTGTTAAAAATATCGTCAAGTGCGTGCGTGCGTGCGTGCGTGTGTGTGTATATGTACGTTTGTCTATGTGCGTGCGCGCGCGCTACCGATTATCACAGGGCGCCGGGGAAAATGTTTGTGCGGTGCTTCTTATGAGATCGCCGGCGATGACACGCGGCTCCTCCGGAAACATCCGTCTCGCGCGGATGGCGCGTATTCGTCTCCTCCCTCCGTTTCTCCGGAATTAAACGTTTCTTTTTCATCTCCGTTTTTTCTCACGCTTCGCGACCGTGCCCTCGCCCTTTTTTCCCTTGTCCAACGGGAGCCACGTTCACGTCTCGCTCACGCGTGCACGTAGTGCATAAGGCGTTCACGCAACGACGCACCGTCGATGTGTTTGCGCGCGCGTGTATGTGTGTGTGTGTGTGTGTGTGTGTGTGTATGTGTTATACCGCGCGTTGTATGTGCGTTTGCACGTACGTGGTGTAAGTACAGTACGCGCGGGATAAAACGTGCTCGCCGCCGTGCTTTACCTTTCGCGTGTGTACGTGTGCGCCGTGAACTGCCGTCTCTTTCTCTCTCTCTCTCTCATATCTCTATTTCTCTCTCTGTTTTATTATTTGTCTCTTACTCCGATTTGGTATGTGTGTGTGTACGCACAGTGCGTATATCAGAGAATTCGCACGGTTCATGCCACGAGTTTCGGAAAGACGCCGATTTCTGGGCGCGATTGCGAAGCCCGAGCGAAGATGTTGCGAAGCGAGCGTTGTCTCTCGTGAATAACGACATAGCAAATTGACCGATTGTCCGTTCGCAACATCGCGGCAAACCGTTAGACACGTTTCTCCCTCGAAAGGATGCCGATTCGTCGTGAAGTCACCTCTCTCGAACTCTCTCAAGTCCGGTCGTTTGCGGAGTTTTTCTAAGTTTTTTCTTTGTTTTTTATATATCCCACGTTATTCCCTAGCTCGTGTTGACAACATTTCCCGTGAGGATTTTCGTATTTACCTTCTGACAAACGCCAACGAATCTCCGACGTGATAAAAAAGAAAAAAAGTTTCGCGCGAACGTTCGTCATGGGGTCTGTGGTTAAAGTTTCGCAAAAATGGACGTGTCGCGAGAAGTGTGTTACCTTTTCGTGACAGAGTCGAGAGTGTGTATGTATGTGTGTGTGCACGTCGACGAATCGTACACAGCGAACGATAGCTGTTTTTCACACAGTCAGCAGTGTCAATGGGTCGTATGAATAAATGCTTCTTGGTTGAGAGAAAAAAATCCGATACAGAAGAGAGATAACACCTGTGCCTCGAAACAAGTGCGTGTATTTTTATATTAAATGAAAACTTCTATCTCTCAGTTATTTTTTGACGACTAACGGCGCGCAAATAATTGCTGCATCTTATTCGTACGAATCGACATTGCCAGTGTTGACTTCGCCAGAGTGGTAAAACTTTGTGTGTGCGAGTGTTGCAAATGCCTGATCGAGTCACTAAGAGATGCTTCTGTTGCAATTACAGAATCTCTGCACGCATCTAAACACACGCCGCAGGAAGAAAAGTTTGACAAGTTTCCTGACATAGGAGGATATTATTTCTATTCGCACGATATAAATGAACTGGACAAAAGTAGTTTGGGTCTTCAGTATGGTGTGAGTTGCCATCACTCTTCTAACGTTCCCAGCAATGGTAAAATACAATCATTATGTTGTCATGTAGTTGTTTTTGTTATGTGTTTGCATTAAAACCGGAAAGAGTGATAGTTAAAATAGTGATGTTAATTCATTTCACATTGATTTGCCGTTAGTACGCAATGTGATACAATATCAGAGAGAACTTGAGAAGATAATGATTTAATAATAAATTGATTATTTTTGTGTGTTTCCAGGGCTGCACATATTTGATGTCGCGCCACAATGGGCGCTGCCAAACAGTTTCATGCAGTGGATTGATCTGCAAGCATTGGTAGCACACAACAATACCGTGCAAAATTTATATGACTTGCATCACAAAGAGACGTCTATCACGGAATCGAAGAATCCGAATAAACACACAAATTTGTCAGAAACGGCACGACACGACGATGAGAGGATAGTGCTGAATTCCGATGTGCTGATTCCACGTACAGTTGATGTGTCATTATTCGCGGAGACGAGGAAGGTGGTACAGAAGGATAGGCTGGATAATTGTCGGAAGGAATTTGTGACCGAACTCGGCTCAGTGAACAGCGATAACAAGGCCTGTCCCTTTGCAAGAGACAAAGTCCAAGATTTTTCTAACCTGCAAAAAATTCTTGGTCACGAGACGGATATCGCTTGCGCGTCGGAGGATTCGACTGACACGCGGAGTAGCATCGCAAGACCGATAGTCGCGTCGAGTGGTGTTGAATGCAACAAGGAAACTTGCGATCCCGATTGTAACAGCTCTGTGGCGAGTAACAATGAGCCGCTCAATTTGGTGGTAGACTCGAAGGAAAGCGCGCGACGTGACGATCGTACGAAAGATCGAGTCTGCGGTTCATATCAGTATACGTCGGTTGTCGATAAAGGGACACTTTCAGTGGACGGTGCCATTTTAAGACAAATAGATCATTCCCCTAACGTACAGAGTTACAACGCAAAGTACAAGAATATAGATTACGGTTTGTTGAAACTTTCCGACTTAGAGTTGTCATGTAATTCGGACAGGAGTAAAGAGTTGTTCAAGTCCATCAGTAAACTGAATGCCGATAGCGAGGTAAACGGGAAGACTGTGACGAACGGTGATTTCAAGCCAGAGAGAGTGCATATTTTGGATAATTACGTCACGCACATATTGCCGCCACATTCAAGTGACAGCAAACCGAAAGAGTCGTCCTGGACGCATTTACAGTCGAATGTTAAATGTAATAGCATCAAGAAGGAGTGCTGCACCGAGGAAGAAGCACACAAGTCGGAAAACACTGATCTGGTTGCTGCCTGCAACTCAGCATTAGGCAATTGGGCGTGTTTCGAAATGTCAGGGCAGTATCCGGGTCATAGCCGACCACCGGTTGGCACACCTCCACCGCAAACAGTCTGGAATCATCTCACCATGGCGCAGGGCCAAGGTAATTTCAGTTTTAAGTTACAGAAATCATTTAATCGACGCTTCGTTGTCTCCCTGTGATCTTAACAAACAATGACTGTGTTTTCAGCTCTCAATATTCATCCGACCGCGCTGCCCGGCGCCACGCTAAGCAGCGGATTCTACACGCATCCATCCATGGCGCGACCGTCCCATCTTCCATCACAACTTACTCCACAACTCGCGCACACGCAAGCACCGCCGACGTGGCACACGCCTACACTTCCCTCAAAGAGTGTCACGCAAGCAAACACGCCGGGCAACCCGTTGTTCAACTTACAACTGTTGGTGGATAATCGGCCGAGTCAGAATCAGTACAGAGGCTCGCCCGGCTCGCAGAGCACGCTGGATCTCTCGTCAACGTCGGACATCATTCCAGAGAATTACTCCCGAATATCTCAGGATATTCCCATCAGCTTGACCGCGAGGAACGTGGACAAGGGCAGTCGAAACGGGAACATAATCTCACCTCCGATTCCGCTAAATGGAGAGACCTCGTCCGACAGCGGAATCAGTTCGTCCGTACCGACGCCAAACTCCGTCAGCGAGCCGGTCTCGCTATCAACGAAGGAGGTTACCACTCCTAAGATAACAGTGAAAAACTTTGAGAGCAATCTGAAAGGAGTCGCGAATCTTCACGATAAGATTAAGGAAATAAATGTAGATAATTTTACACAGAAAGTGATAAATTTGCCGCCTAGTGTGACGATAGAGAGGGTGGTCGCAGATAAGAAAGAACCCGAAGCGAAAGTTAAGGACACGTTGAGTGTTATCGCGCAAGTGCCAAGGACCACCACCTTACCTGTTATAGTTAATCTAACATCTAAGGAGAAGGACGTCACGGATAGTCCTAAGAGAGAATCCTCGTCCGAGAGGGACAGGAAGCACGAGGAGACGAGCGTGAGGTCGCCCAAGAACCTGCCGAAGAGGGGCAAGAAGGGCGTCGATTCTCTGTTAGAGAAACTGGAAGGTGGGAATAAAAAGCTCGGGAGTGCCGAGAACATCGGTTCGGTGATCGTGATGCCGGTGGAGGAGAAGGACACGTCCAGTGTTAAAAGTATGTCGCCGGAGAGGCAGAAATCGAAGTCGCCGACTCGGGAGGACGAGGTCGTGTCACCGGCCTTCAGCAACGACGACTCGAACGACAATACCAAGCAGCGTAGGAAAAGAAAATTGGAGAAACCCGTGAGGTTGAGCAAAGATTCAAAAACGGAGGTCGAGGATATGGAACTGGAGCCTACGGAACCCTCGGAACCGCGGATCATCGACCGGGTATCGGAGGAGAGTACAGTTGGTACCGTGCCAACGACCGAGGAGCAAGTTGAGGCGGAGGAGAAGATCGCTGAACCAGCGGATGAGAGAATATCGGAAAAACCGACGACAGAGGAGAATTTGGAAGAACAATCAGAAGAAAATCAACCGATCAGGAGGCTAAGCAACAGCGAAGACACCACAGCCGGTAACTCGACGCCAAATCAAAGGGTACGGAGAAAATCAAACGACGACGCGTCGTCGTTCGAGTTTTCAAAGGTGACAAGCCCGAAGAACGCTAACGACACAAAGACGTCGACGACAACGTCAACGATCGCGGCACCACATTCCTTCGCGGAAGTGGAAACGGAATTGGAGAAAATGTTCGCCGGGATTGTGGAGGCGGACTCGAATGTAAAAAGCGAGGAATCGAAGACGGAACTCGCGAGCGCGGAGATTCAGGGCAATAACGTCGCGAAAATCAACAGTCTTGAGAATAATCTTTTGCTAGCGTCAAACGAATCGCAAAACAACACTCAGACCAATCCTATTGACGTTTCCTCTACGGTGGACGCAAAGGTACCGGGGAAGAAAGGCAAAAGGGGCAAGCAGAGCAGCAAAAGAAAAATCTCTAGATCGTCGGAAAATATTTTCGGCACGGGCGATTCTCCGCAGAAGGAGATAAAGAAGAGACGGACGTTGAAAGGCTCAAAGAAGCAAGATCAGACTTTGAAGAAGGCGAAGAAGAACACCAAAGTCGACGGTCTCAGAGAAATGACGTACGATTCTGGCTCGAACGCGAGTTCGATCCGATCGCGCGGTCCGGTAGTTCACGTGGAAGGGCCGCGGGACAGTCCGTTGAGCATTCAGGTGGTGAATGCGCCGCGGGAAGAGGAGGAGGAGAAAAGCAAAGAGAAGAGGAAGAGCATTGGCAACGGAAACACAAGCCGAAGTAAGAAGCTCAGTCATCAAAACGATTTGGATTATAAAGGTACGTACACGACAGTCATTTCCGCGTGTTTCGTTTTCTGAGCACAATTTGGTTTATTACCGGTTTTTTTTTCGATTGATCCGCAGGCAAGGTCAATAAAGCGGGTCTCTTCAGTTCCACGCTGTCGTCGCGATATGACGCACATACCACGGACTCAACCTGGGTTTGCGTCTTCTGCAAACAAGGACCCCATTCCGTTATACCCGGAGACCCGTCCAGACCGCATCCGTATCTAGACGGGCCGCACATTGCAGCCGGAACATATACAGTACGTAATTTTCCTCGAACTCGGCTTAAACGACTAACGCTTTGGCGTTGTACGAGCTTCGACGAACTGATACGCATTGAGTAGAGAAAGTATCTTTCGTATCTTCATGATAATTCATATTTTTTAAGATTTTATCTTTGTATCATTGTACTTTTCTCTCGAACGTTCTTATCTGATTGTGACTCTCGTATCATATCCGAACGATTTCATGATGTTACGAAAAACTGTTTGTGTGAAAAAGACGTTGAACAACGTTATATGTAACAATGTGGCGAATGTGTGCAACAGGTTCCGGCCGGTGTGCTGAGCGACTTATTCGGGCCGTACTTGATCGGCAAGGAACGATTAGAGGATGGCATTCTATCGGCTGACGAGCAAGAAATTATGACGGAACAGAAGAAGGGCGGCAAAAACAAGAGGAGCCTGAGACACGCCGGTCTGGCCGACCAGTTCTCCGCGAAGATGGGCAAGAAGAAGCGGAACTCCGTCGAAAGTAATACAAACGCCATGTTTGCGGGCATGACTCTGATTCATGGCGTAGAGGAGCAACGATGGGAAGTGTGGCTGCATGAGCAGTGCGCCGTGTGGGCGGCCGGAGTTTACATGGCGGGTGAGTTAAACGTTGCGATAAAAAAAAAAAAAAAAGAAAATTGATAAAGTCGGAATAATTTGACATTAAAAATCGGGTGATTGATTCGACAGGTGGTCGAGTGACGGGGTTGCAAGAAGCAGTGTGGGACGCCGCCAAGTCGATATGCAACTCCTGCGGCCTAACGGGCGCGAACATCGGCTGCGTGAAACGCGGCTGCAAGGCTGTTACGCATTATCCGTGCGCGCTGACGAAAGGTTGGCACCTCGACACAAATCAGTACATACCTAAGTGTAACCTTCATCGAGTTACGTGAAACTCCGGTGAGTTCTCCTGTGTGAAAGAGAGAGCGTAGGCTAATGTGAAAACATAGATCGTATTCACATTAAATATATCACATTGAGATCCGGCTTTAATTAGAGATGCACCGAATAATCGGCAATAATATATAAGAGACTAATAAGTATATATATATATATATGTATATATATATATA